TATATATATATATATATACAGAGATTAATAGCATCATATACAAGTTTAATTTGATTAAACAAAATTGTTTTTTTTAATTATACATACATAAATACAAAGAATTTTGATGTATTGTTAAAATCATATTACAAAAAATTAACAATAAAATTTTTTATTTTTAAGTATAAATTAAGTTATTAATATAATTAGTATATTTATATAATACTTGATTTGTAACTTCCATACAATGAAAATTTATAAATAGCATATTCAAAAAGAAAAAAATAATTCGTATGATTATTTGCCGATTTAAAATAATAATAACAAATAATGAAATTCATTATTCTTTATTATAATTTAACAATTAAATTAAAATCATTGTCAGGGTATCATGTAATGTAATATTTAGTATACTATTTGTTATCACTTAAAAAATGAAAGACTTATAATAATCTCTCTATTATAATATGTGTATCTTTGTACATTTTCTTAAATAGTCCTGCCATTATGGGTTTCTGGGATAAAATAGAGGCTCATTGCCTAATATGTTCTCTGTTATGGAAAAAGACTAACCCAGACCTATATAGAACTGACACAAATACATTCCTTGTTAAGAATAATAAAAGAATAAAAATATTACATAAATATATAATTATTTATATAAAAAAAAATATTAAAATATGTCATTATATATATATATATATATATAAATATTACACAATGTATAATTTTCTAATTATTTTAATGTTCTTTTAAATTTATCTTATTTATAAATAATCACTTCATATATTTACATTTAATTTAAAAATACATTATAAAAGAATTTATCATTTAATGAAATAATGTTTATGTTGCTAGTATAGATGAATTTATGGATATTTAATCCATGTATGTACCTGTGATAGAATAGAATATTGTATTTTAGGCTCACAAATATTGTGCATGTAATTAGTAAGTTCTTTATTTTATAACTAATTAAATCTAATCTGAAATTCGAATCAACATTCCCAAGAAATAACATCGTATTAAATACGTATATATATTAATTAACCTTTTTATTAAAACATAATAGTATTTAAATATATATACATTTATATGAAATACATATATCTAATAATTGTGATGTCTTCTAGCATATATGACATATATGAGTAACAAGATATTTGGTTTATGAGTCAACTGAGGTTCTATCAATGTAATTGAATATTGAAATACATAAAAATTAACTCCCAAAATATAATCAGTATTTCTTACCTTACACTCAGTTAAATTATTTAGGCTACGCAATTTTTTTCTTACATTATATTTTATTCCTTAAAAAATAAAATATTAAAAATTATGATATATGTTGCTTAATGTGTGTGTGTGTGTGTGTGTGTGTGTGTGTGTGTGTGTGTGTGTGTGTGTGTGTGTGCGTGTGTGTGTGTGTGTGTGCGTGTGTGTGTGTGTGTGTGCGTGTGTGTGTGTGTGTGTGCGTGTGTGTGTGTGTGTGTGTGTGTGTGTGTGTGTGTGTGTGTGTGTGTGTGTGTGTGTGTACACATATACACATACATATATATATACACACATTTCTATATATGGCTTGTTCAAAATTAAAACCAATTTTAATAGATATTTCAAGTTAAGATGTATGTGAAGAACCACCACAACAGGAATTCTTAATTGGTTCAGTTTCTTCACCTTCATCTTCAACCACAACAACATTACGACGTATACTACTTGTTCTTGATAATGTAGATTTTTGTTCCATTAGATCTGCATGTTCTATCATTCGTACTGTTAATTGAAAGAACATTTCTTCAATATTTTCATTTAATTTGGCAGAAATATGAAAATGCATAGCTCCTGCTTTGTTAGCAAATCTAATAAAAAAATTTTATATTAAAACAAATTTTATAATATAAGGATAATCAAAAATCAAAAAACTTACTCTTCTGCTTCTTCGATATAAACACGTCTATCCTTTTCAAGATCTATTTTATTTCCAGCTATTGCTAAACAAATTCCACTGCCTAGCATTTTCCTAAGTTCTGTAACCCAATTTATTACCTGTGAAATGAACGTTAATATAGGATATAAAAAAATAGAATAAAATATTTCTTTAAATTTTTACCCTTAAGAATGTATCATAATCAGTAACATCGTAAACTATAATGGCACCATTTGACATTCTGTAATAAATTGGTCCCAATGCATGAAATTTTTCTTGACCAGCAGTATCCCATATTGCCAAGTTTACTTTCTTTTCATGTATAGTCAATTTTTTATTTAAAAAAGAAGCCTGGAAAAAACATATAAAAACATTTCAGTGTTTATCACAATTGACAATCTACCAACCATAAAAACATTACAATCATAATTATATATAAACAACAAATAAATAAATTTAAGATATAAACGAAACATAAAATAATACATTAAAAATTTAGGTACCTGCAATGTACTGATATGCCTATCATTAAATTTGTTTTCAACATATCGTAATGCAACAGAAGTTTTTCCAACACATCCTTCGCCGAGCAACACAACTTTGAAATTATAGACATTATTGGTGCTATTAATTGAACTAGCCATAATTTGTATATAACTAATATATATACAATATGATAATACAATATGACAGTTGGAAATGCGTACAATAATCGTTGATAGAACAATTTATAGAGTATATTGACGACTGACGATCATAACGATGATATTCACGGGTGGGGCCCCTCATGCGGCTTTGTCCCCCTCTACGTTAGTATTTTACAGCAGTGGGGCATATTACGTATCTCCTTCTATACATTCCGCAGTTACATATTTCTTCACTTCATAAATCTATGTAATGTAAGTTATATTTGCTTGAGTAAAACATTTTTTTTTTAATTATGAACAACTATAATCGTTACTTAATCTTTTTATCTATTAAGAAAATAGTAAACTATATTTTAACTTCTCCATATTAGGTGCACGAAACTCGCGCGAGATCCACACTGGACTCGCATGAATAGTGTCTTGGTTTCCTTGACGACAATAGCAAAGTGGGGGAAATGTATCTTATTCACAAATAAAGTTTAGATAACACTGATTTAGAATTACTATGAATTCATGATAGCATACATTTAAATTTTCATTTCTATTTAATGTCAAAATAAGAAAAATCAACTACTTTTTATTTTATCATTTATCAAGAAAGAAATAGAAGTATTTATTTTTACTTTAAACATATAACCGATAGATGGCAAATTATGATTATTTATCAAGTGTTCGTGTCTCGAAGTTCAAAAGATGTTACTGGATTTTTAATGAAAATGATAAATTATGATGAATCAAAAATTTATAATTCATTCCATTATAATTCATGTTCAATAATTTCAATGTTATATGAAAAAGATAAAATTTTATATAATAGTTGTGAATAAAATTTATTTTTGACTTATTAAATTAAAAAAAATTATATCTACGTATAATTTATTTTTCATTGTATTTATTATTCATGAAGATGGCGCTATTTTCACTGTTACTAAGGTACCGCAATTTTATTCAAATTACTCTGACAAAACATATTTTCCTATATATATTAGGAAATTCATTGTTTATATATAAACTTATATAGAAAAATTTAACTAAGATAATAAATCAAATTCTGTTTGTTCTTAAGAAAGTAGAATTTATACTGTTCTAGAACTCTGGTGGTATTTTATCGAACTGAGGTCCAACAAAAATCAAATCTTTTCACCGGAAATCAAACTTATACAAGTAAGGACAAATTTATAATTTAAGTTTCTTATATTGTTAAAACATTTTAAACTGAATACATAATAAATTTTTTTATAAAAATTATATTTATTAGAAATGAAAAACAAGTAATAACAACATGAAAATTATAATTTCTTATTTAGTACATATAAATGCTCGCTTGATTAGAGTATGCAACGGAGCCAGCGCCGTGAGTCTGCGCAAAGAAGTTCTCAAATCTGGCCGTCACCTGTATTGAAAAGGTAAGTACTCTGCTGTCATTAATCTTAACATCTTAATATGAATTTCGCGATCACGTGTCATAAAAATACGATGTATTGATAACATGAGACAATGTCAGCAGCTTTGTAGATTGTCACTCGAAATTACTCACGTGATTAAGATAAATATGTTCCGAGATGTCAGCGTCTTCGGCTCTGAATTCAGAATCTGCCAGGCTGCTGTATCATCATCGATACATTTGACACTTATTTTTCATTCCTGCCTTTTCATCGACTATTCTCTTAATCCGTTCTTATTATACATTATTATAGTCGTTCAAATTTTAGTAGTTTATGTCAAGTGCAACGAAAAACTTTCACCAGATCGTAGGTACCGCGTATCTTCACGGAATTTTCATTGTCGGCATTCATCATTGTATTGACAGGACACCAAATAACCTATAGACAAGATATTCATAAAGTATCGTAAAAATCTGTCAGTTGTTATATGGTATTCATCTTTCAGACCAACGATGATTCCCGCGTTTTACCTGCGCGGTGTTCCACTTGGCAAGTAGACTTGTTTGTTTGTGCGTGCCGTATCATCTGTCATGGCGTGCCCGCTTGTGGCGGGTATCATATCACTGACTTTTTTGATTATTATTCGTACATGTCAGTTAGTGTTGTTATATATGTTGTTTGAAAGAAATCGGACAAATAATTTTCAAAAAATTGATTCGAGGGAATATCATATTTATTTAATATTTCGAATATATATTCTATGTATTCATGGAGATAGGGTTGGTTAAAATAGTGGGAAGGGAAGGAATTGACGATGGCGGCGAACTGTACTGTGCCATGCGCCATGTCGGTCTTTTGCTTGCGCACGTCCTTCGTTTGGTGCATTACATTTGTCTACATTTCTTTTTTTTGTCTTTATGAAAATAGTACATGATCTATCATAAAATAATTTCAATAGAAATCCTATATTAGTTGAAAAGATAATTAATATTATATAAACTTTGAAAATTGATATAATTTTTTATTTTCAACCGAATAAAATAAAATTCAATACATTTTTAGATAAAAATATGATGTTCAATGTTTAAAATTGCTAGACTAATGCATGCTTAATTTTTTTCTTTATTTATGAAAATTTTTATGAATTCAATTTTCTTAATTTTTGTAATAATTTTTAGTGTTTTTATGAATTCAATTTTCTTAATTTTTATAATTTTTAGTGTTTTATTTTTCAATTTTTATTTCTTATAATATTGATAAAAAATACTTTTAATGTTGAAAATATATTTGGAAAATGTTGGAAGTATATTTAATAACAATATCAAATTAGAGATGTTTTGTTTTGATGATGATAGTAATTTTTTATGTTATATATTTATGTTAATATAATAAGATAGTTATATTAAAATAATTTTCGTTATACTTTAATTATAATTATTTTCTCATCATTAAGAATAAATACAACATTTTTATTTACATTTTAATAATTTTTAATAAATTAAAAAATATTAATCTATTAGATCCATTAGATAAATAAGATTAAAATATTCATTATATAAAACATTTTGTTTTATTATGATTAAAAAAAATATTAATATCACCTAGTGATTTAATATTTAATAATGTATTCAAAATGTTTAAATTTATATTTCTCAAATTGAATAAAAAAGATAGTAATGATTTTAACAATATTAGAAGCTATATATCACAAAGATAGAGAAATGTCTCCATGTTTTTATTCTGACCAAAATACCGGAACCTGTTTTATCATAATGTAGGTCATCTCGATCAAATACTTACGACATCATTAAACATCGCCTCAACGAAATCGAAGTTTCTTAGGCTAATATATTTTTATTATTAATTACAATTTTACTCATTGTTTTCTCAATATGCACAGAAAAAAATGTGTTTGCATTTACTTCTACAAAAACGCATACAATTTAGTGACATGTATTTGTATCAAAGGATGGTACCTTCTATTTTTAAAACTGTAGAAGCAACTAAAACTGAGAACGAAAGTTGAACTACTGAGAGTTTAGCATGTCAGGGCCATATTATTCAGATTATTCATTATGCATTTTTTATCTTCGTTATATTTATCCTTTCAATAATATGTAAAACAAAATTATTTTTAATTATTATGAATATTATTTATAATGAAAAATAATTCATTTCAAATGAATTATTGATATTATTGATATATGTATTTTAATTTATTTTTACATTCAATCAATAATAGATTATAATATATAAATATAAATATAATATATATGTTTTTCTGAATCTTGTTTTGCTTTAGAAATAGAAGAAATAATTTTACATAATTTTATGATAATTTTTTGATCATAATTACAAATCAAAAATATATAATATTATATGATAAAATTAAATAGATAAATTATAGATATCGCAAATTTATTATCAATTGTTATTAGTTTTTGTGTTTTGATCTTGACACTCAATTTATAAACAAATACGTAAAATATAGGTAATGTTTAATATGCATGCAGTCAAGTCAGAGATTTGAGTCGTATCGGGATGAAGAGACAACCGATCAACAAACCACGTGGCAACATCGCTATACCCTCCTCTTTTTTCCCCCTTCCTATTGCTTGATGTCCCTTATATCGTCTCCCACTATAATCATTGACTACAACGAGGCGAAAGCACATTTACATTTTTTTGCGTACCGTACGTTGCAACATTTTTACTTTGAGATTTCAACTACTGATGGCGCCACTCCCAGAATGAAAAATATATTGTTTATTGAAACTGAGATATTAGTACTTTTAGATATATATACCACAGGAAATCTATCGCATTTTATATTTTTATTGTAAAATGAAATTTACAGATATCAAATTTTTCATTATATTAATCAAAATTATTAAGATTTTATTTTTACGAATTTTTTTTTATATTAAAATGAATTTATATATGTGATAAATTTATATTTAATAATTGTAGAGACAATCTTCTAAATTATAATATCGTAGAATATAATAGATGTGAGATGCAAGAGTATAATACTAATATTAAATCAAATCATTAAAACTTTATTATATTCCTGAATAAAATCATCCTTGAAAAAAACAAGGACAGATAGGTAACATACACAACAAATTTGGTATATTGCACGAAAACTGGTTTGCCTCCATGCATTTATTATAATGCATGTCAAACGAATGTCATTATATATTTCTAAATGTTTAATGAAGGTGCCAAAATATATAAAATATATTCTTTAAATTGTAAATTTTAATATTGGATGCTTCTTGTAATATATCAAGTGTTACTTTTTTAAAATTTAAATTAAAAATGATATAAAATAAAATATAAATAAGTAATTAAAAACTAGATAGTTGACAGAATATCTTTTCTTTAAATTTAGTAATAAATATAACGGAGACATTGTTTATAAACACGATAGATATATATCGTTCGGTAAATGTCATATCATATGCATATAGACAATAGATTTTGAAACTTAATTTTTTTTTAAATTAAACTAATGAATGAAAAAATTTTATTTTGCTTTATTTTTGCTTTATTTTTTTTTATAAGGAATCATCTAATATCCGCTTGTACATACTATTTAATTGCATTTTGTGTATTTTATTAAAATATATATTATAATTTTATATTTTCTTTTCTTCTTTCAAAATTATATCGATTTTGAAAGAATAATTTCAAAATTATATATTTAATTATATATCTTTTTATTGATAATTAAAAATATATTGTATAAAGTTATATATATTGTATAAAGTTATATATATTGTATAATATTTATAATAACTAATATAAATTATATTAGTTTAAAACACAAGATTTATTATATTATATAATTATAATAATACATAAAAATATATTTTATTAAAATAATAAATATAAAAAATCTCTGCACATTAATTTGTTTAATTTGTATAATTTGTAATAATGATAAAAATTATTAATAATTTGTAGAAAGATTACATATTTATATTCTACTACAATAACTTTTACACAAATGTAACTGTGATGTATAATGATAAATGGCAGGTGATTTTAGTGTTTCTATATAGAAAAAAATGTTTATAAAGTGTCTATTTCTTGTAGCACTTGTTTTTCTTTGCAGTTTTATCGTGTAATATAAAGTGGGGATTCGTGAAATTCTGGACGCCCCCTAGTAGCATACGTGCGTCACAACGTGTAGCGTCTTGCACGTATACTGTCAAGCCAAAATCGCGGTGTTAGTTACAGAACTGGCAACGAATCGATGTAAACAAGTAAAATAAAGATGGTGACGATCAGTGATTTTTTCGTCATAACAAATTATCGCGATTGAACTTTTTACATGCTTTTTATATATTATACGGACAGAACGGAGCTAATTTCGACTACTGTCACGATCATCGAAACATGCTGTTTTCAGTAAAGGTACATTATTTTCAGGACGCGTTAAACATACGGTTAAATTAACGATTATTTTATCTTTGTACCTATATGCAATTCTTCTTTGTAGGTAATTACTTACAATTATAAACATAAACCGATAATAAATTGTGAAAAAAGATATTGGAATGAATTTGGTTGGGATAAACTTTTATTGGTTTTTTATGAATTTGTTATCATGTGATATGATTTCTTTATGTAAGATCTTATAAAATTTTAATCTGATCATTTATATGTTGATTTAAAAATATTATTTAACATTTTGACTTTTACAGAAGCAGTCTGAAAATAACGTGCAAAATGTTTAGTTTCCATAAACCAAAAGTGTATCGATCTAGTACTGGATGTTGCATCTGTAAAGCTAAATCAAGCAGGTAAGCAACATAATAATTTCAATAAATATTATTTAATAACATAATTATTATTTAAATATTTAATAAAATCATTATTAATATTAATCTTAAAATTATAATTAATTTATAATTCCTTTTTTTCTTTATAGCTCAAGATTTACAGATAGTAAAAAATATGAAGATGATTTTATGGAATGTTTTCAACTTGAGGAAAGAAGAACTGGAGAAATTTGTAATGCATGTGTACTCTTGGTAAAAAGGTGGAAAAAATTACCTGCAGGAAGTAACCGCAATTGGAGACATGTATGTTTTAATAAATATAGTATTATTTATTTTTATTATTTAATTAAACATAACAACTACAAAATACATTATATTTTTGTTTCATAGGTTGTAGATGCACGTGCAGGACCTGGTATTAAATCATTGACAAAATTTAAATCAAAAAATAAAAAGAAAATAAAAGATATACCGGAAAAGTTTGAAAAGATTATGAAGAAAAAACATATGTATTTAAAAGCAGATAGAGATCGGGAACAAAGCCCAGCAATGAGTGATGATTTAACAGGTTAGTAATGTTATAGTTTATATTATTAAATAAAAAAGTCCAAAATCATAATTTTATCTTTTTTTT